TCTGTACTGAAACCACATCGGATAGAAAACTAAACTTGGGTGGTCGTCTGAGGGATGGAGACACTGACCATGTAATCAAAACATAACGTCACTGTATCTGTTCGATCTCCATTAATTTCCTGTCTGCTCTCCTCTTATTTTACTTTCATGATGGAAAAATTAATCCTCTTACCTCGACATTTTGTAGAAGTTATAATTTAGAGAGAGCATTGGCAGTCAGTCAGTCGAGGAGAGTCAACTTTATATCATATCTGTTGATATGTCGGAGCAAAGCTACATTTGGCTACTACTTTTGAATTCAACAGTAAAACTCCACATACCCAAGAATAAAAAAATATTTTATAGGTTTATAGGTTCATCTATAAATGAAAAACAATTTCTGTTAGGATTATAATGATGCCCATTAAAATTTTAAGTAGACTTCAGAGTATGATCAAATACTAAGTCTGCAACTTATGCAAACTAGAAAAACACAAAAAATATTTAATTTAGTTCGGGAATTAAACAAATGAGTCAAATGTGGGGCATTACTAGCTGAACAAAGGTGCATACATTCGCTAACATGTTAGCATAAATGCAAACAATTTATGAACTTACTCTTCTAAGTCTATGTCTTTGTTGTTATCCTCCAGCTCATGACCGAAGAAAACGATCCTCTTCCACCCATGGTCTGTCTTTGTCCAGCTCCATCCAGGCGACCTCCAGTCTTTGCCCAAGAAAGGCATATTAACTGGGGAAGGCCGGACTGTGAGCCGAGAAGAGTCGAAGCCACGGTGAACACCTGAAGGGTTAATCAGTAACAAGATTTATTTTTGGTTGCCTAATTGCTCTAAATATTCAGTTAAACATTGTGTCATTTGTATTTACAGAATACTTAAGACCTATTCGTACCTGTTTATCTTCTTCACATTTCTTATAAAATTAAATGTAATTTTTTGGGATTCTATGTCAAAGACTAACACTTTCAAAAATTCCCTGGTTTTCCATTGAGACTACACCATGGGAACAAATTCCTCCTGACAGCATAATACAGCCACCATTGTGCTGTACTGTGTGGACAATGTGTTGATGGGAGTTTGCAGTGTTAGTTTTCTCCCAAACTTAACCTTTTAACTGTCTTCTCCTTTTTTGATGCAGCCATTTACACATATATTTATTCTCAACAAAGACATGGAAAAACGGCCACGTCACATTTTCACATTCTTTTTTTCAAAATGTATGATTCAAACTATATGAATCAGTCCAACAATTGGGTAGGTTTATTAAATAAAGTACCAACAAAATAAATTGAGGTTTGAAGTGAAAAAAATCACAAAGTTGCTCCAATAATTTTAGAATGCAAAATGAAGATCTGGCACATGAAAATGAACTTGTCAGTTTACTGTGTTTTTTATGTCAATATATACAGTCTCTAGTTTCATGGACAGAATTCAACTGGGTAGATATTAAACTAAATAAAATAATATTTATTAATGAATATCGTTTTGTTTATATTTGAAATAAATGAGAATTTCCAGAAGAAACTTTTTTGTACATGCGCCAAGTCTAATATTTAGAACACCTGCATGAAGGGGAAGCAGCATCTCTACATCTATGCCCACTTTTAAGGCTGTAAGAACTAGAAGTCACATAACAAGGGGCGCAACTGGATTGTAAAACTTTTAAACAATGAGCTTATTTTCAAGGGTTTTCAGGTCCAACACTGGGAATACGATTAAGTAGACGTAATTTTCAAAATCTCACATAAACATGTTTATGACGCATTTTTTCGGGGTTCTGCCTTTGCAAACCTCCGCCGCTGCAAACCTTAATGTTAAAAAGCAAGAAGAAAGCCAGTTGTCACTCGGTTTAACGTGCATGTACAGAGAGGAGATGAAATAAAATATCTAAATAGCGAAATTCTTCAGCTGCGGGTTTCTAAAAAATACCGAACAAACCTTAATATCCGAGAACTTCCTTCGTGGTCTTTTTGTCTCTCAGTCTCCCTTCTTGCTGTGCTGGAAATATTGACGGAAGTAAATACAGTGTGCAACCTGAGCATTCGTTCACGCCCCCTCTGCCTTCCTATTGGACAATATGTTCGAATTTACGCTGTTGCTACCCAGAGCAACGCATCTGATTGGCTAATCTGCGGTGTCAATCATCGCCTTTTTATAATCCCGTGTGTTTCGCTGGGGTTTTTCTCCTACACGTGACCGAGGACTGCACACATGTACTTCTGTTTTTATTTTGCAGATGGGGGGATGGGAACAGGACAATCGGACAACTAAGTGCGTGATGTGGTTAGGCAACATCTGTGCAATGTTTTAAAGCTTTAATGTGCATTAGAACTCCAGTATTTTCTATTTTATTTTGAGGTCTTTATTTAATAGCAAGGGTTTAATTCTACAAATGTGCATGTCCCATTTATCAAATATAGGTCTCTACTATAGTTTTAAATTCTTATCAATCATAGTGAATGTTTGTCATCTATGATAAAAGATCTTTGAATTTACTTTATTCAACAGACTCATGGTCCACAAGATACACAACAACACAACATAAAAAACAAGAGAAAATGAAAAATAAAATACAATAAGTAGTCATAAAAAATATAAAAGACTTGTATACCAAAGTTTCCAAAGAGCCGACTGGTATCTTAGCGCACTAACAGAAGGCTGTGAGAACATTACAAGAAGATTGTTCGGTGAGTTACCCAAACGACACATAAACTTGTATATCAGATTTCTCAAAAGGGCTTGAAATGTTCTGACATGTGCGTTACAGAACATTTGACTTGCACTGCTGAACCTGGGTTTCTTGATCAAAATTCTCAAAGAGTCATTATAAGCAACCTTAAGCTTCTGCATACTAGTTTTTTTTAAATTTGCACCACAAAGGAGCTGTATACAAGGATGTACAGTAAGCTTTAAACAGGCTTATTTTTACCTCATCAGAGCACATATGAAATTTCCTCCCCAAAACGTTTAACCTGGGCGTATAACATGTGACCCAGATACTTAGTTTTGGAACAAACATCTAACTTTTTGTCCAGCTCCATCCAGACGTTATTTATGCATTTTTCCACATGCATTTAAAAGACAGTATGTCTTCAGAATCACGGATATGCATTGCAGAAAAAAATTCCTTCCCTCTGGCTTTATCATACTATGTGGTGTTACAACACAGACTTGAATGTATTTTATTGGTCATATATTTGTAAATGATGAAGAAAGAACAATGAAAAAAAAAGAAACCACTTGGTGTTCTTGTATTTGTACTTTCTTTTACTCTAACATCCTAAAAAACAAAAAATGCCATCTGAAAGGACCTCACAACTAAACTAGTCCATCTTTGTAAAAAGTCTCCTTTTAAATTGTTTCACGAAGGGCTCAGAAATTAGTTAAAGGACATCAGTAAATAAACAACATCATGAAGACCAGGGGGTTCAACCACCAGGACAAGAATAACATTGTAGAGAGCTTCAAAGAAGGTTCAGGCAGTAAAACTTGAACACATGACAAAGCAGAGTTCAATCAATAATCTGAAAATGAAAACATAACATTCTCAGACAGCTCTAATCCCACCATGACATGGCCATCATCCAAAACTGACAGAGAGCATAAATCAGAAAAGTATAGCCAAGAGACCTGTGTTAAGTCTGTAGGATCTGCAAACCCACAGCCTTGACATAAAAAGCCCCTGCTGTTTATTTTTCACTCCAGAAAACAGCTGTCATGAAAGAATGACAAGAAGAAAGACATTAAAAAAAATCCCACTTAAATTTTTAAAATGTAATACAGAAGATAAAGCAGCTATGAGGAAGAGGTCTTCTCTCTCGGTGAGACTAGAACAATGTTTTGGACCACCCTCTCATATGTGAAAAGAATGATCACACATCACCCCATGTACTGAAACATGGGAGCAGCAGTATTATGGTAAGAGGATGGTGTTTATTGTTAGGGTCTTTTCAGATTCAATTGTAAAATTGCAGGGCAGTTCAGGAAGATTGTAAGCCATTATTTTTTTTAATGTTTTATTTAGACTTTAACAGATATTACCCCTACAATCAAGCATCTTTACTGATTATTCTCCCTCACTATTTCTACCTTTACTCTTGTATATGTTTATATTGCGAAAATTTTGTTCTGCGATCTAAATTTAAAAAAATAATAATAATTTTATGTTCATACAAATGTAAATAGAGTTCATAAAACCATTCTTCTTCTGTGCTTGTTTTAAATATATTGTTGTTAATCTTCCCATGACAAAGAAACTCATTTTAGGCTAAGGTATCCCAACAGACGTTTATCTTGCCTGGCTGGTTTTCTTGGTTTTATAGCATGGTTCACACAAATCAGGAGTCTAAACAAATGAGTTTAGAAAAGCAGGCGAAGACTGGGAGGTAAGTAGAGATACAGTTTCAACGGGTCACTGGACATAAACTCATCAGATTACCAGCCACATTCTTCTCACTGTCAGGATCCTGCTGACAGCTTGTCCAAGGAAATTATCACTTATTTCCTGTTTTTTTTTCACTTCTGAGACTCAAGTTAATTACCTTGTTTAATTGCTGATACTTAAGTGACATGCAAGAAAGCAGCTTGCCTTACTGCTGTCATTATTTGTCTTACTTTTGTCTGTGTGTGCATGATTGACTCCATAGCTTTCACCTGAGGAAAAATAGGGAGTGCACTCGTGAAAGTACGTAAACGCTACGTAAACTGTTATTTGAGTCCCCTTTCATTTTTGAGGTAATCTGAAAATCCGCAAATTATGAAAATTATGCTTAGATGTTTCCAGTAAAAATCTCAAAATCCAAAAAGCCTTTCATCTTTATGTAATCACTCATACCAATTACCAATAGCATTAGTTTTTTAAAACATTGGTGGAAAAAATAGAACTAGTTTCAATGATAAATAACATAGCAATGCTTCAAATTTAATACTAAAATGTATGATTGTTAGAATGAAATTCTATTTGAGGGTATGCACTACAGTTTGTCAAAACTTCACACATAATTTAAATATATAATATAGTTTATTAGAAGAATATGACAAGATACACGGTAATTTCTCTAAACCACAGCTGAGTTTGGACTTTTAGCCCTATACTTTTCATAGCTCCATTCTTTCTTGTGATATGATAAAGGCATTTCACAACCACTTAATATAGCTATAGTTTGAAAATCTCATGACAGAAAAAAGTTTGTACAATAACATCTCCAACTCATATGTTTTCACATATTTCAGTCACATTGTGCTCAAGATACAATTTTAGACAACATGGCAGCAACACACGTTCCCACAATCTTGAATCCATCACTTGGTGATATTTACTGTCAGGAATGCAAGAACTCGAAGTCAGTCACAATCATTTTAGTCTCCACCAAAAAATCTGTAACTTTTATGTAACATTCAGTCAAGGTCCCGTAACTTCTTTCCAGCGTCCGAAGCGTTTTTGCAGCTGTACAGCCATTTGATGATACGTGCGTTGCGTTCAATTACTGATGTGCCTTGCTGTGTTTTATTGTGCAGCTCTTTCTCAAGAAGCCCATCGCTGTCACCGCTGTCCCTTGAGAAGCCATCATCGGATGTGGAGATGCTGACGCTCCGAATGTTTCTCACAATCTCATCAGAGCGAGCCGAGAAGTTCTCCCTCCCCAAGGTCTCAATCACCTCACCGTCCAGGCCGCAGTACTTGAAAAATGCATCAAAGTCTGCAAAGTTTTTAGAGTACCTGGAGCTGATATCTGAATGGGAACGGTTCACTCCCTTGCCAGTTTTCCTCTCAATCTCAGGAACTGCAAGGAGACCACCAGCTGCTGGCTTTTCGGTGTTGTCCTCTGTTGCTCCATTAGACTTGTTCTCCGACAGAGAAATAGCTACACCGATGCTACATTCCTTTGCTTTTCCCTCAGGTGTGCTGATTTTTTCCTTGCTGCCTTCATGATCATATTTCCTGTCAGCAACCAGAAGAACAGGAACATGTTTATCCCCGGAATTAACTGGCAACTTTCTAGATGTGGTGTGCCTTCGGTTCTTGAGTACTGATCCTCGGCGCAAGTCACATTTCTGTCTGTAAAGCAGAATAGAGTCTGGTCTTTTCTTTCCAATGGGCTGATGTGGTTGTCCCGGTAAACAGAGTTGTGGAACATCTTTATGCCCTGATGAGGTACTCCCAGAGACAAGATTTCCATTGCAGTTTATGCTTTGGCTTGAAGACCCGGTGCTATTCGCAGATGCTGATCCAAGACTAATCACTGGCTCCTGGGTAGAGTTGACCACTTGCTGACTTTTGACATACTTTGGTTTACTCGCAGCAAGCCTCTCCACAGCACTCATACGTCCCTTTGTCTCACTCTCCAGTTCCATTTGCTTCCGGAGGTATTCCGGACCCTTTTCAAGGATTTTTGTGGTATCACTACTTGTCTCCATTGTATACTCACAAGTTTTCCAAATTGTTTTTTCCGAGGAGTCAAATATCCCTGCGTACAGAGTCACAGCGACGGGATTCCATTCAAGCCCGCTCTTTGCCTGAGCATGAATCCCAACAGGAGACTTCACCTTGTACACTCAGACACACATCCCTTCACCCCACCCATCCTGCACAGGAGTAGTTTTAGCCAAACACAAGCCTGTTCAAAGTACACCTGATACTCAGAACAATGAAAGCTGAAACTGCAGACATTTTTCCCCACCTTCTCTTGAAATGAAAATGCGGGTCTTTTAACTTGTTGCTCAACATACAACATAAACCGTCATAAACACTCAGAAAACCAGTTTTTGTCTGATCTTCTGTTATCAATTCTTATTGGGGTCTTTACCTGAAAAACTGACTCATCAAAAAAAAAAAAAAAAAGCTAATCGTCACTGGTAAATGTTGTGCAAAAGGATTTTACACTTAACTTGGGGATGTGACAAGCAGGAATAAAGGAAGGTAGAGTGTAGGGACTGGCAACTGGAGCCTTATTAACGCATCATTGCATTGTTGTGCAATATGGAAGAACATTTTCTTGTGGTATTTGTGACCCACACTGCTGTATAAACTAATTTGCTTCTTTACATTTTTCCAAAGTAATTTTTTTGTCACTCTTAAAGGTTTAAAATCATCAAAGTTATTCATTCACCTGGGGACTAAGTTTCCAATAATATGTATTAAGGAATCCAATAGCCTGATGTTTTAATGATTGACCATTGGAGGATTAGTGAGCAGAATTTGGAGTACCATGTTGCTTTACTTCAACATGTAAAAGTTGCCAATTTTAAGGAAGATGTGCTGCATTGGAGCAGAGCTGGTCTGGAAGGATATGAATGTGGTAAAATGTGCATAAGACCTCATTGGCCTTTGGAGGTCCTGGGGTTCCCATCTCCCCCATGTCTGCTTTGGACCCTTTCCATTGAGGACCCCTTCCGTTGAACATTCTTACGGAGAAATCTAAAATGCACAAGCATCAACTCTTCCTCTCATACACATAGATACTCCCACAGGTGAATTAGGTATTTTCTGATTGGCTGCGGTTACCACTATACATTTTGTAAAAGTAGTACTAGCACTCCAGCTATTCTTTCTTCTAATCTTGTCTCAATTTTTTTAAGCTTTTGTCCCCTTTCTTTTCCATTTGTATGTCCCTTACATTTGAAATGTCCACGTCTGCCTCACCACCTCCACTACTCACCATTTTATGACAGAAGGACCCGACCAAAAGGAATTACGGTGAGGCCGCATTATGGACCCAGAGGGTTTAGAGGAGCTGCTCCGAACCATTCGCGAGTATGAGGAGTCAAGGAGTATGTCCTCGTTTGCGTTGAGGCGACTGGGGTTCGCCATACGCCTGGGACTGCTGTTGGACTACTGGGTTCCTCGTCTCCCGCACCCCGCGCTGGTGGAGCTGCAGCGGGAGGCAGAGGAGATACGCCGGACAGCCTTTGCTGCCTGGGATGCTAAACCTCTGCCTCCCAGGCCAGACATCCGCTCCGCCAGCCCAGCCCCAGCTCCAGCCTCTGCTCCTCGTCCTGCTCCGCCGGACCCCGCTCCGGCTGCCGTTCCTGCTCCGCCGGACCCCGCTCCGGCTGCCGTTCCTGCGCCGCCGGACCCCGCTCCGGCTGCCGTTCCTGCGCCGCCGGACCCCGCTCCGGCTGCCGTTCCTGCGCCGCCGGACTCCGCTCCGGCTTCGGCTCCTGCTCCGCCGGACCCGCTCCGGCTGCCGTTCCTGCTCCGCCGGACCCCGCTCCGGCTGCCGTTCCTGCTCCGCCGGACCCCGCTCCGGCTGCCGTTCCTGCTCCGCCGGACCCCGCTCCGGCTGCCGTTCCTGCGCCGCCGGACCCCTCCGGCTGCCGTTCCTGCGCCGCCGGACCCCGCTCCGGCTGCCGTTCCTGCCCCGCCGGATTCCGCTCCTGCTCCTGCCCCGCCGGATTCCGCTCCGGCCTCCGTGGACTCTGCTCCTCGTGCCGCTGCTCCGGCAACCTCTATCCCTAGTGCTCCTTCCGAGATCCCTAGTGCTCCTTCCGAGATCCCTAGTGCTCCTTCCGAGATCCCTAGTGCTCCTTCCGAGATCCCTAGTGCTCCTTCCGAGATCCCTAGTGCTCCTTCCGAGATCCCTAGTGCTCCTTCCGAGATCCCTAGTGTTCCTCCAGTGTCCCCTAGTGTTCCTCCAGTGTCCCCTAGTGTTCCTCCAGTGTCCCTAGTGTTCCTCCAGTGTCCCCTAGTGTTCCTCCAGTGTCCCCTAGTGTTCCTCCAGTGCCCCTAGTGTTCCTCCAGTGCCCCCTAGTGTTCCTCCAGTGCCCCCTAGTGTTCCTCCAGTGCCCCCTAGTGTTCCTCCAGTGCCCCCTAGTGTTCCTCCAGTGCCCCCTAGTGTTCCTCGGCACCATGGACGCCCTCCGGACCTCGCCCGTGGGGTCTGCCGCGGGCGCCGAGGACGCCCTCCGGACCTCCCCTGTGGGGTCTGCCGCGGGCGCCGAGGACGCCCTCCGGACCCCCCTCGACGCCTCTGCCCTCTTTCTGTTTAGTTTTGGACTCTTGGCCCCTCCTTGTGTTTCCGCCCACCTTTTGTGGGTAGTTTTTTTTTTCTGGACTCTGGCCCTCCTTCCGTCGCCCCTCCGCCCACCCTGGTTTTTGAGTTTTGGATTTTGGTTTTGGGCGTCTGGTAGCCGCCCTTTAAGGGGGGGTACTGTCAGGTTCTGTGTTTAATTCTGAGTTTCTGTGTCCTGAGTTCTCCTCGTTGTCCTGTCTTCCCCTTGATTGTTCCCAGGTGTGTCTTGTTCTCCTGATTACCCTCAGTGTATTTAGTCCCTCCTGTGTCCTTTGTTCCTCGTCGGGTCCTTGTCGTTGTTTGTCGTACTTTTGCCTTTGTCTGCTGTTGTGTGTTTTTTAGCCGCCTGTATTTGTTGGGCGTTGAGCCCCTTGTTCAGCCGTGACTGCCTGGCCGCGGACTACGTCTTTGACTGTTTGTTGTTGTTATTGGACTATTTTTCATCATTAAATATTCACCATTCACCTACCTGGGTCTCCAGCGTCTGCCTCACCATCTCCACTTCACCACTTCATGACAAAATAAGCCCAATACAATTTCAAACTATGTTTTTTCATATATTTACCAAGTGGAGTGAAAACCATAGACCTCCAGTTGTAAAAGTATGTCTGTTGAGATTCATCTTGGCACTCAGACAACAATTCTGAGTGCCATACTGCGTGATAGGACACGTTTTAAAAAAAAAAAAACCTTGCTTCTTAAAGATATTCTCTCCCCAATTTGGCTTGTTTGCGCTATTGTTCAAGGCAGAAGCAATCACATTTCCAGTCTATGGATGTTTATTGTTGGAAAACCTTGCTACTGGTTCTGCACACCATACTTTCCAAGGTTTAATTGGAATACAAAGAGTAAACGTGTAGTCCATATTTATCAACTTCAGAATTCTGCACAATTTACATAAAATCCTAACAAAACACATTAAAATATGTGGTTGTAACGTTATAAATATGGAAACCTGTTAGAAAGGTAGATGGGTATAACATGATTATTAAATGCTGTTGAAAATAAACAACACTTTGTAGTGACAGTACTAACAAATAGCACAAAGTTAAAAATAAACTATCAGCAAAACTAAAAATTTGCATTGTTTATTAGGTATACAGTACATTAAATGTGTAGTTTTGAACATGAGCAATTCTCCTGTTGAAGGTAATCGTTCTGCTTTTTCTTCCACTCCCCCTTTCCCTGCATTTCCTGCCAGATGAGTCATCTGATCTGTCATAACTCCCAGCACACCTTTATCAATGTTCCTAATCAGTCTTCTTAATGGCTTTTAACCTTTCCCCAGCAGAGGCCAAGTAAAAATGAGGAACTGTGTGGGAGAAGTGAAACAAATGCTTCTGAGAGGAACCTGTATCTAAGGCAATAAAATGTATATGCATCTAGTTTAATTTATGTAGGAAAGTAGTTGCTTTTGTGAAAAAAGCACCACTTGTCTTGGTAAAGTTAAACCTGTTGATAGCCAATGATGTCATTAGGTTTACCTGTGAGCTTATTGGCCAGGTATTTGTTGACAGCCTCTGCTCTCCTTCTCTTTCTATTCTGCCTGTTTTTTGACCTCACCTGAATCCTGTTTTTGCTTGCCCCCTCTGCTTTGGATTCCTGTGTGCTCTTTGAAACATTCTAAGAAACTTGATTCAAGTAAACCTAAACTAAGATTTCTGCTTTAACTTTGTTTTGCTTTTGGGTCATGACTGCATTTGAGTATCTACTCTGAACCCATCTTTTCTTTTGAGATATTTTGAAAGTTGTCACAACAAAACAAGATATGCTCAGAAAAACATGAGTAACTGGGAACTTACAGGTCCAGCTTCTTTAATTCTCTCTGTTGTTTTAACTGGACTTTAAACAACAGAGAGAAAAGCCAGTGCAACAAACACTTCAGCACAGTTCTGCTCCTCATTGTCAATGACAGATTTGATCTTACACTCCTCTCACTGTCTCGGCTGGAGGTTTTTCATAAAAATTATCAAATGAATAGTGGCACCTGCAGGTAGCAGTAGAGCTCCTCACAGTCACATTTTTGTCTTGTAAAAGTATTGATACCATTAACATTTGCATTGTCTTGCCATATATATTTTCAATAGTGACAACCCAAAACTATGAAGATGTATGAGCTGGCAATATATACAGACAACTTTCAAACTTAAACAGTACATTTCAAAAATAATCTCAAGTCAAAGTTTCCATCTTAACATCCAGGCGTCTATTTGCTCCACTTAGAAAACAGGCATTAAAGTAGAAATCTAAACACAACTTGTGTTGAGCACACCAGCTCTTCTTGTTCAAAAGACAGAGGGCAGCACTGGAATGGATAGACTGAAGGTCAGGGTGAAGCTTAACAAACTGTATGTAACTTTCATGTGCTTTTTTTCTAGCCACAAACACGCCTTAGCACCATATTTCACCACATTAATTTGTTCAGAAAGAAGACATTGTATCCTCCAGCATGTTTAATTAACTAAAAGAAAACAAAGACCACTTTTGTACATGATTCTCATACCACATCTGCTTTTTAG